TATATATATATATATAGTAAGGCCTCTTATTAAGGCTTTGCTTTAGACCTCGGATGCTGTTGAGCCGCCCCTGTATGTGCCTAAAGTTCAGTCATGTATGTGACCTACCAACTTTAAACAAATTTGTAACTTAGGATGTAAATTTCTTAGTCCCATATGTCTAAAATTAATTCGAAATGGTTAGACTAGCAAAATTTTATGAACTTAGGTATTAGGATATGGCTTAAATAGCGGTCCAAATATCGGCTATCTGTGCACTTAGGCCCTCGAAACATGTGTATGGGCTTAGCAAGCGAAATTAGAAAAATTACGCGACACATAAAATATTTACACTGTATTTATATACTTTCAGCAAATTTACCATCTGTAATTATATAATATTATAGGAAATCTATGAAATAAGAGATTAATTATTTTGAACTGAAACAAGAGAGCAACAAGCTCTCGTAGCTAAGTTGGTTAGAGCGCCCGCTTGGTTGTATTCCTTATCCGTTGCATGTTTGCATACAAGTGATACAAATTAGTAACAATTAAATAGTAGTTATGAATGGTAATTAGGTAAATTATAGTTATTAGGCTCTAAACTATAGTGGCTCGTGGTTTATGAAAATTCCTCATTAAATAGGTCTTAAGATTGAAATACGTACATAGCACTCAATCCCTAACTAAAAAGGCCAATAGTTTTTTCTTTTCTTATTTTTGTTTGTTAAATATTTCAGAATAATAACTTCCTTATTTATGGATTTATGTTTTGTTTCCTACTTGTGAAAACATTATTTACAGCCTAAGTTGATTGACTCTAAAATGTTACCCATGTTAATGTCCAAAGTCTATTTATTTATTTATTTATTTATTTATTCACTCATTTGGATCCTAATACAATATTAAGGACATGATATCATTTTATTTAGTGTAATTTTGTTGTGGGAGAAGGGGTTTGAATCGTTGATCTTTACTTGGCAAGTGACAAGACACCGGGGAGAACCAAGATTTTATGCAAACATATTTGTTAGTACACAACAATTTGTAATCACTTAGTTTAATTTTATGATTGCCTGTCTTATAATTCATAAATTTAATCCAACATCACACGTTGCATGTTGCGTATCTCGATTCGAATCTCCTATCAAGAAGTCTACAATTCCAACATACAAAAGCATTAGTCTTTCTCTTTTTACCATTCCAAAATATTGAGATATATTATTTAATGCTTAGTCTTCATAATCAGTTAATTAGTTAAACAGTTAGGTAGTTAAGTACGGCTGGTGTTAGTTAGATCGTTAGTATTGGTTAACAGTGCCAGCTGTTCAAATGTGTATATATATATATATATATATATATATATATATATATATATACTTTGTATTGTCTCAATAAAGAGTTTGAGCTTCATTTTCATCAGTTCTATTTTCTTTCTTTCATTCTCTCTCACTGAGTTCTAGAAGCTTCGTCCTTCACCATGGCAAATATGGTTGAGCTCGTTCTCGCTGGTTCTCAGTGACGAACTTGACATGGTATCAGAGCAAGGTTAATCTCGCACATCATCTTCCCCTGCATTTTTTTTATCTGTCTCCTTGTTCGATTCTATTAGATCTCAAACTTTGCCCTAATTTTTGGAGATTTCATTTATTTGTTAGCGGATTGTTGTCAAAATTGTGATAATTGAAATTCCTTTATTTTCTTCACCAATTTTACTCAATCATGGCCGTTCTTGACCAAGACGATTTGACTGGAGTGGAAACTACCATCACTATTACTGTGACAAGCACAGGAATTGACTCAAGTGATCCTCTGTACCTTCACACATCTGATAATCCAGGAGCTATGCTCGTTTCAACTGTTTTTGATGGAATAGGGTACAAGTCTTGGAGGAGAAGTGTATTGAGGGGATTGTCTATAAAGAACAAACTAGGTTTCATAAGCGGTGAGTGCAAACAACCAGATCCTTCGTCACTACAATTTCGCCAATATGGTGAGCAATGTGATAATATGGTGACGTCTTGGATCCTAAATTCACTTTCTAAGGAAATCGCAGACAGTGTAGAATATGTAAATGATGCTATTGAACTTTGGAAGGAATTGGAGGATCGTTATGAACAGACTAATGGAGCTAGGCTTATCAAATTCAGAAGGAAATTAATGACCTTTCTCAAGGTACTCTTGGTATTACTACTTACTATACTAAGTTGAAGAAACTCCGGGAAGAACTCACTACTTTGAACAAAAGGACTCAATGTAGTTGTACCTGTAATTGTGGTGCAAAAGAGAGTATGTACAAAACTGAGCAAGATAGGAGACTGATACACTTCCTTATGGGATTGAATGAGGTGTACACTGTAGTTCGAGGCAGCATACATATGATGAATCCATTAAAAGCCTAGCACAGGTATTTTCACTCCTAGTTCAGGATGAGAAACAAAGAGATATTAGGCCAATTAGCCAATTGTCTGTTGAGTCAACCTTATCAGGATAGGGTTCATTTTAAGACAAATTTTCCAACAAATAACAATTACAGTGGCATTCCTAGAGCTCGGCTCATATGTGATTACTGCAAAAGAGCCAGGACATAGTAAGAAGAGATGTTACAAGTTACATGGTTACCCACAGAACAGTCAGAATTCTACTCAGAATTTCACTCCAAGGCATTTCCCAAATGGTCAGAACCATGGCCAAAATTCTAGATACATTAAAGGCAAAAGAGTGATTGCAAATGTACAAGGAGTCGCCAATGAAGCTGTTATCACTAAGGAAAATGAAAACAGAACCCAAGATGATGGAAGGAATGTGAACTTGACTGAAGAACAATATGGACATCTTGTGAGCTTACTTCGACAATTTCATGTGGGGAATGGAGATGTTGGAAGATCCCCAGGGAATTCACATTCATCTAATGCCAATCAATTTCGCAGGTATGATAGTATGCACTTCTTCCATTGATTTTGTGAAACTTTCATGCAAATGCTTTAAATCCAAAACTGTTACATAGATACTAGACTTAGGAGCTTCCAATCATATGACCTTTAATGGATCCTTACTGTCTAATATCAAATTCTTACCTTATCCTCTCCTAGTAGTCCTACCTAATGGATACAAAGTCAAAGTATCTGAGATTGGTGATGTTGTTCTCACATCAAAAATAGTATTGTACAGAGTCCTTTTAGTTCCCTCTTTCAAGTTCAATCTTGTGTCAGTCTATTAGTTGACCAAACATCTTAAAGGCATGGCATCACTTACTGATAATACTTGTCTTCTGTAGGCCCCTTCACTAAAGAGGCCTCTAGAGATTGGTAAAGTAAGAGATGGCTTGTACCTGCTTTGCTCCAAGTATTTGAGAGACAACAACTCTTCCACCATAGCTTCTGATCATTCTTGTGATGTAAATAGTCCTTTTTTGAATAATCTACAATGTCATTCACCTTAATTTGTAAGTAAGTCACCTTTGAATCAAATGCAGAACCTTTCCCTTTCAACTGTTAATACTTTTACTTTGAATGCTGATGTCTCTGGATCTAATTCTTGTTTTTCCAGCAATGTGAGCATCTTATGGCATAATAGGCTTGGCCATGTGCCATTTGCAAAAATGAAAGGTATCTCCACTATACCTCCTGAATTTTCCCCTAAGCAACCATTCATATGCACAATCTGCCCGATGGACAGATAAACCAGACTACCAATTCCCCAAAAAGCCAGTATTTCTTCCAAAGTCTTTGAATTACTCCATGTAGATTTATGGGGACCTTATCATGAACACACTCATGACAAATATAGATACTTCATCACTATGGTAGATGACTATAGTAGAACTACTTGGACTCAGTTACTGGCATGCAAAAGCAACGCCTTACAGACAATCAAGGCCTTTATCTCCTTAGTTGAAAACCAGTTCAAAACCAATATCAAGTCCATTAGATCTGACAATGGATTGGAGTTTAACAATCTTAAGCCAATGTTTTCTTTCAGTCAAAAGGGATTGTCCACCAAAGAACTGGTCCTTATACACCACAACAAACTGGAGTGGTCGAAAAGAAACACAGATATTTGCTTGAAACAACTAGAGCTCTACTTTTCCAATCTAAACTGCCTTTGAAGTATTGGGGGAAGTGTGTTCTAACAGCCACTCACATTATAAACAGGTTACCTACTACATATCTCCAAAGCAGACCTCCCTTTGAAGTCATATATGGCAAGAAACCAGACTATACACAGCTAAGAAGCTTTGGTTGCTTGTGCATTCCTACAACACCTAAGATTCAGATAAACAAATTTGAGCCAAGATCAGTTCCACATGTCTTTTTGGGCTACCCTTTTGGTGTCAAAGGTTACAAAGTTTTGTATTTGTCAACAAAAAAAATACACATTACCAGAGACATTATCTTCCATGAGTTTATATTTCCTTTTGAGATCTACTCTAAGCCTAAATTTGTGCCTTTTCCTACATTCTATGATGCTGTTTCTTCTGATGAACTTGTGAATACTAGTCATGACAATGCCACCAGAATGTCCACTAGTGATTCACCACCTAATTTTTCCTATATAAGTTCACCTTGTCCTGTTGACCCTATACCTACTTCTCCTCCTTCACCTTGTTCACCTTCTGCTTCTCCCTTTTCAACTTCTCCTCTTGATACTTCTACACCTTCTCCTTCATACTCACATCCTCCTCTTAGTTTCCCACTAGTGCATCACTCCTCTGAACCTTTAAGAAGATCACAGACGGAACACAAAACTCTTACCTATCTGAAAGACTATGTACACAATGTTAGTAATGCTGATAAATATTCTTTTTCTCTCAACACCTTGTTTTCTAGTTGTCACCACATAACCACTGAATCAATAAATCCTAACAGTCAGGCTTTGGTAAGCAGCATTTGCAATGATAGTGAACCATCTTATTTTAAAGAAGCTGCTGTCAGCCCTGCTTGGCAGGCAACTATGGTCCAAGAGTTTGAGGCACTATATGCTAACAACACCTGGAGCCTAGTGCCACTTCCTCCCAACAAGAAGGCAATAGGTTATAGATGGGTTTACAAAGTGAAGCATAGATCTGATGGCACGATAGAAAGGTTCAAAGCCAGGCTGGTTGTGAAGGGTTATACTCAGCAAGAGAGTATAGACTTCACAGAGACTTTTTCTCCAGTAGTGAAGATGACTACAATGAGAACACTTATTTCAGTTGCAGTAAAGAATAACTGATCAATGTTCCAATTGGATGTAAACAATGCTTTCCTCCATGGAGATTTACATGAAGAAGTGTATATGCAAGTTCCACCAGGCCTCATGGTGAAAGATCAATCCCTGGTTTGCAAACTAAATAAATCCATATATGGTCTTAAACAAGCTAGTAGGCAGTGGTATGAGAAGTTAACTGAGGCCTTGTGCTCTAAAGGTTTCAATCACTCCTCTTGAATGACTATTCACTGTTTTACAAGCAACATGGAGATTTAGTGGTTTATGTGGAAGTATATGTAGATGATGTCTTAGTCGCAGGCACCTACCAAGAGGAAATACATCAGCTGAAAGCTTTCCTTCATGATAAGTTTAAGATAAAGGATTTGGGCAACTTGCATTACTTCTTATGTCTGGAAGTTCTATACAAGCCTGATGGTGTAATTATTTCTCAAAGAAAGTTTGTTCTAGATTTACTGAGAGAGCACAATTGCTTGGAGTATGCTGCTTTGAGTTCACCACTCGACCCTAATGAAAAGCCAAATGCCAAGGAGGGAAAACCATTAGATGATCCAACTTCTTACCAAAAGCTAATAGGCAAGTTAAACTTTCTTACCAACACAAGACTGGATATAGCCTCTGGAGTAAAACACTTAAGCCAATTCATGTAAGATCCTAGAGAACCTCACCTGAAGGCAGCCTATCACTTGCTGAGATATCTCAAGGGTGATCCTACTTTGGGAGTTTTCATGTCCAACACTGCAGACTGGTCTGTTAGAGCTTTTTGTGATTCTGATTGGGTTTCCTGCCCAGACACAAGAAGTTCTGTGAGTGGGTACATTTTTCTATTGGGAGATAGCCCGCTCAGCTGGAAACCTAAAAAGCAGGAGACTATTTCACTGTCTTCAGCAGAGGTAGAGTACATGTCCCTTAGAAAAGTGGTTGGTGAACTGGGCTGGTTGAGCAGGCTACTGACTGAGCTAAGAGTTCCTTCCATTCATCCCATTTCAGTATTTTGTGATAGTTTGTTGGCCTTACACATAGCTAAGAATCCTGTATTTCATAAGCGTACAAAACACATAGAAGTTGATTGCCACTTTATCAAAAAACAACTGCAAGTGGGCCTTATTTTATTGCATCACATTACAGCTGACCATCAGCTTGCAGATATACTTACCAAGGCTCTAACATGCATCAAACATTCTAGTGTTCTAGAAAAGTTGGCAGTGTTTTCACCACCTCCAACTTGAGGGGGGGGGGGGGTATTGAGATATATTATTTAATGCTTAGTCTTCATAATTAGCTAATTGGTTAAATAGTTAGGTAGTTAAGTATTGTTAGTGTTAGTTAGGTCGGTTAGAATTGGTTAATAGTTCCAGTTGTTCAAATATGTATATATATATATACTCTGTATTGTCACAATGGCAGATATGGTTGAGCTCGTTCTCTCTGGTTCTCAGTGACGAACTTGACACAAAACATTACAACTATGTACTGATTGTAATTTTTGTCTAGTTCAAACTTGACGTTCATCACTTAGGTGTAAGTTTTTCTTCTTCTTAAAGTAATTAGTCCATCCAAAGCACTCTCTCGTTCCATCTTATCTTTCCTCACTATTGTAACGACCCGGCCGGTCGTTTCGAGAGTTATAGCTCCATTTTCCCCATTTCTGCTTCTCATTGTGTTCTTCAGCTATATTATGTTATGTTGGGTTAGTTGGTTTGGGTCCGGAGTGGTTTTGAAGTGAATTGAGATACTTAGTCTCTTATGAGAAGGGTTAAGTTGGAAGAGTCGATAGAATGTTGGCATATGTATAAACGACCTCGGATTTGAATTTTGATGGTTCCGTTAGCTCCGTTAGGTGATTTTGGACTTAGGAGAGCGTCCGAAATATGATTTAGTCGGTAGTGGAAATTTTGATATCGGGGTCAGAATGGAATTCCAAAAGTTGGAATAGGTTTGTGGTGTCATTTCTGACTTGTGTGCAAAATTTGAGGTCATTCGGACGTGTTTTGGTGGGTTTCAGCATCGTTTGTGGAATTCGGAAGTTTAGAGGTTCTTAAGCTTGAATCCGAGGGTATTTTGACGCTTTGATATTGTTTTGAGTGATACAGAAGTTCGACTAAGTTTGTATGATGCTGTTGGATATGTTGGTATGTTTGGTTGAGGTCCCAAGGGCCTCGGGGTGATTTCGTGTAGTGATTAGAGTATTTGGAGTTGGAAAAATGCAGTTGAAGCTGCTGTTGCTGGTGTTTCCGCACCTGCAGAGTGGGAACCGCAGGTGCGACGTCGCAGAAGCGGATTTGAGGCGCAGGTGTGGCTTGGTCACCGCATCTGCGAGACCGCAGATGCGGTCAGGTGATCGCAGAAGCAGAGTCACATTTGTAAATAAAATTCCGCAGAAGTGGAGCCCTCTTCGCAGATACGATTCCGTAGGTGCGGAAAAAGGACCGCAGGTGCGGTTTTGCTGGGCAGAAAAACCCCAGCTCGAGGTTTTGTTCTCCATTTTCGATTTTGGATTTGAGGAACTCTGGAGAGAGGCGATTTTTCGAAGTATTTCAAGGAGTAATGTTGGGGTAAGTGATTCTAACCTATAATGGTACAAATTTCATGAATCCATGGCTTTATTCATCATCTAACTGGGAGTTTGAGCTAGAAATTTGGGAATTTAGGGCTTGAAAATTTGAGAGTGGATTTTGAGGATTTCAGTGACCAAATGAGGTCGGATTTTGATAAATTTGGTATGGTTAGACTCGTGAGTGAATGGGCTTTCGGGATTTGTAACTTTTGTCGGAGCCGATTTCGGATTTTGGCTATGAATTTGGTGTTTTTCTTGTGGAATTGATTCCTTCAGCCTATATTGATCGTATTGTATTGCTTGTGGCTAGATTCAGGGCGTTTGGAGGCCGAGTCGAGAGGCAAAGGCATTGCAGAGTTGGAGTTTGCTTGGTTTGAGGTAAGTAACGCTTTCAAACTTGGTTCCGGGATAGATTTCCATGGGCCGGATGGCCATATACGGTACCGAGTTGTTGAGTATTTATATATGCCTAGAGATGGATTTCTCCACAGGGTTGGATTGCCCTTTTTTCCTTGGTACTGAGTGATTTACAGTCAGTGTTATATATATTTCGGGATGGATTTCCCTGGGCCGGATGGCCATTCAGTACCGAGTGGTTGAGCACTTGAGAGTGGGAGTACATTGTGCATTTCACATAGTCGGTGCATTGGCATGTAGAGGCAGTTGAGTTATATATCTTAAACTGTTTAGATCTGTATTTACCTTATTACTTTGAGATGTTTATTTAACTAAAAGCATGCCTATGTTTCTGTACGTTGTTTCTATTATATCTGTTGAGGTTGAGTTCGTCACTACCTTTCAGTCCATAGTTTGGACTCGTTACTTACTGAGTTGGTGTACTCACGTTACCCCCTACACCTTGTGTGCAGATCCAGGCACTTTTGGACCCAGTGGCGGTTGTTGATCGAGGCTTCAGACTTAGGAGATTATTGAGGTATCTGCACGGCGTTCACAAGCCTTGGATCTCCTCCTTATTCTTCTGTCGTATTTCGGTTGCTTCTTTAGACATTGTAATAGACCATGTATTTCCGTAGACGCTCATGCACTCAGTGACACCCTGGTTTTGGGCAGTTGTATCTTATTTTAGAATTTCTTATGTTCAAACAGTTTCTCTAAATGTTCAAAACTTCTGTTAAATGTTTTCAAACTTATTATTGTTGTGTTGTTTTGTTGAGTGAGGCTGGACTAGTTCCACGATAGGTGCCATCACGACGGGTTGAGTTTTGGATCGTGACAAGTTGGTATCAGAGCCTAGGTTACATAGGTCTCACTGTCGACGCCCCCTTTTTCCTCGCGGAATCGGGTTCACGACATTTGGGAAGACAACTCTTTTCCCACTTTGGGAATTGGGTTTCTTGAGAGCTTGGAGAGTCGCCACCTAATGATTATAGTGCATTAGGACACTTTTAGAAGAATTAAAGATGCAGACCAGAGTTTTGGGTAAGGGCTTGAAATTATCTCGAGGGGAAGGTGTTAGGCACCCCTCAAGATCCACTAGTGTGGTTCCCGGCCATGCTACCATTGTGACTTTAGATGTAAAAAATAAACAAGTACAAGAAGCACAAAAGGTTAAAAGAAGTGCTGAATTTTAAAGGAGCAATTTTGTAAAAAACGTGCAAGTGGAGAAAAAGGTCAAGTACTTAGTGCAAATAATCCGAAAAGATCATGCGAGAAGCAGGAATTGAAAATGCAATAGCTTTAAAGATTCAGAAAACTTTATTAAACTAATAAAGAAGGAGAAAGGGTTCCTAGGTTTATACATTACATGGATCATTCGCACAACACTGGTACTCAATCATTTACTTATCGCATGCTACTACCCGTCCCAATCCTATTAGTCCCGGGGTATTAGGACTTCTAATCCTAAAGGGGAAGAAAGGGATGGGGGCCTTTATAGAGTTTAAAGGATAAAATTCTAGCTCGACATTCAAAACAAGTATCAAGTAAAAGGGGAGGACAAGCAAGCATACAAGGCTCAAATTAACCCCAGAAGTCAAACAATCATTTAGTTTAGCATGCCTTGACAAATACTGATTTGGTCTTAGATTAAATTAAGCAGCGAGCGGACTGGTTCAACACATGTATTTAAACAGAGAGTCTGCATTAGCCAACTCGGATACAGTTGTCAGGGACTAACCCAATTCATTAATTAGCCAACCCTTGTTTATGAGTTGAAATAAAAAAACCTAGGCGTAGGATCTATTAATTTCAGGAAAAAGATGCAAAGAGGTACCAGTAGTTTCAGAAAAGAGGCAAGTTGATTTTAGAAAAAAGAATTATCAGTTTAAACAAAGAGAAAAGATGCAAACCGATTTGTAGAAAAGAGTTACCAGTTATTTCAGAAAAGATATAGACTGATTAAAAGGTTTACGAGTTTCGGGGGAGTGCAGATTGGCTATAGGAAAAAGGTTTACCAATTTTAGCGGGCTTCAGAAGTAGAAAATTACCAGTTTTAATAAAGACACTAGTTCCAGCAATCGATACTGTTTAAGAACGAATGATGCTATTAAAGACGAGGTTTCCTATAGGCATGCTTTCTATATGTTTGCTGATTTTAACACCCTTTCCTGATATCAATAAGAGTCTTATACACATGATGTCTATATGCAACTTTGTTATTAAGCCTATAAACGGTTTGCCTAATGACATTTATATATGCAGAAATGCAAGAGCCTATAGACATGATCTCAATATGTGTCATTACAGAACATGAATGTTAAATCCTATAGACATGCTTTCTAGGTGATTTTTGCGGTAAAGTTAAGCGTTAAATCCAATAGGCATGGTCTCTATGTGATTGAATCAGTATTAAAGACCCTATAGGCAGGATTTCTAGTTTGAATAAAATCCTAATTCATGATTTCTACCCATTGGATACAAGAAAAGTAAAGACCCCTCCCACTCCCTTTTACTATACTCCCCGAGTTTCATACAAAATTATTACAACCCAATGAATCAAACTGGAAATTAAAGGATACATCAAAAGCTACTAGATCCGAGTAGCCTAATTCAACCTTAATGTCTAATAACATGCGATTGAGCCACTTTCGGGATCCAGATTTCCGAAGCCTTCTCTTTATCCAAGGTGCTTCAAAGTTCCAAGGAATCTCAGGGATTCCAGGCATTGCTTACACCCAGGATACTACCAGAATTAGAATAGTGCAGTGTGGAAGAGCCGGCTCTCATGCATACAAGTTCAGAGGGAGCTCGAGGGTCCCAAAGCATGGGTTGCAAGAGAGGGGCAGAACTTATAGCTAAGAGTAAGTGCAAAGTGAAAGGGAATTGGGGGGCCATGACAGGTGGTGGTCATACCTAGCTACAAAGTAGGCTGGCACACCCCTGACCACCTGCTTGGTCAAACACATTAAGAGCAGACCCTTGAAGGTCAGACCAGAGTCTGGACAGTGATTAGGACACTGCCAGACCCAAGTCTAAAGCTCAACAACACATAAAGGGGGAAAGGGAATGGGAACTGATTGAGTTTGGGATTCAAAGAATCCAATCCAGAATCATGGACAACAATATTAGAGTGTTGTCATGCCCCGAACCATAACTCACCTATAAAGGGGTATGAGGGTTTGGGATTCATAAAGTATCAAATTCATGACAAACAACTGACAGGATGCATACATAATTTAAATACTGAATTACAAAGGAAATGGGGGGAACATG